TATACCATAATGTAATCAGCATTGTTAATGTGGCATATATATACCATAATGTAATCAGCATTGTTAATGTGGCATATATATACCATAATGTAATCAGCATTGTTAATGTGGCATATATATACCATAATGTAATCAGCATTGTTAATGTGGCATATATATACCATAATGTAATCAGCATTGTTAATGTGGCATATATACCATCATGTAATCAGCATTGTTAATGTGGCATATATACCATCATGTAATCAGCATTGTTAATGTAGCCTATATACCATCATCTAATCAGCATTGTTTGCTTTTCAAATATTCAGTAATCCCACACTGATATTCTGTAAACCAACTAAATTGATAAATTGATGATGAAAACATCATGGTTACAATTACAAATAATTCAGCAGCTAGTTTAGACAATTTATTTATGTACATTGTTTGAATGAGATAAACATAAAATTGATGTTCAATAAATATTTAAGTCATCATCATATTTTGCAGTTACTACCATACTGACTTAACAGTAAACTTATCTGATTTAATGACAAATTTATTTTATTTGGTAAACATAATAAGAAAATCTCATGTATACAAACATTGCAACTCAATAAAACTATTAAATAATGAAAACACTATTTAAACTAGAATCAAACCACAACAAAACACCTTTTATTAAGCCTGAAGCAATCTCCAGTCATGTGATTATTTGCTTTATACTGCTTATATATTTCTGTGTATAGGTAAACTACTTAAAACTTGATTATGACAAAACCTTCTCCAAACATTGTACATCTGTTACGATGTTAAACGTTTAGTAACGTTTCTGTGCTACCTATTCCTATCTAAACTGTATAAACTTATCTTATCTTATCTCAAGTTATTCTTATTCTTCATATTGAAGTCAGTTTCTGTAGCTGTCAAACAGATATAATTTAGCACACAGGAATGTTTACAGAAGCTATAATAGAAACCTTAACCTGTATATTTACTCAATTATGAGGTGATAATCTAATTTTTGCTCTATCCAATCATATTTAAACATGTTTTATAGTTGTTTTCAAAGCTTTGTTTTATTAGTAACTAATTAAACCACTTGCTGTGGTAGCATTGCAGGAAGGTTTCAACCAAGGTCTGTACAGAAAGTAAGAGAAACTTGAAAACCAAGAAATGGATAGTATATTATCAGGGACCAAGAAATGGATAGTATATTATCAGGAAGTGGTACATCCTTAGTGAAAATAGTTCTTTGGGATAGACAGAAAAATTCTAAAAAAAATTGACAAGTATATTGTTTAGTTGACACAAAAAACTCTTTTGCAGCTGTGCAGAAATGAAAATATTAACTTTTTCTTCATAAATTATGCTAAATCAATTCTAAAATAATTTTGTGTTAAAATTATTCATATAATTAGAATTGATATATAAACTAGTCTTCAGATTTGTTGGGAAAATATTTGAAAAGTTAATAAACTTCCTGTCTTCAGGTACAATAATTTAGGAGTAAGTTATTTTGCTCATCCTAAACTGTTGCACACGTATCAAATGTGCAAAGTACTATAGAACCTCTGACAATTTGAAAATAACATTATTAATAGCATTATGGGTTTCTCCGTACAAATTTCCACAAGGCTATTGAACTTTTGTTGATGAAAAAAAACACATTACTTTAGTTGAATAATTCTTTCAATAAGACTTCAAAACGTGCAAAGGTGAAAATGCATATTTGACAAACAATACTAATGTTCATAACAAACATCATATCTTGCTAGTTGGACTACTGCATTAAACATTCTTCACATATATGATTCATAAATGTCTCAGATTAATGTTAAATGTTGTTAGAAATCCATACTGGGTCAATCCAGGATGTTGTAATAGGGTGGGAGTCAAATAAGCCTCTACGAGCTCTACGGATAAATTTGTATTACTTTTGTTGTTGAACTTTTTTAATTATAACTGCACATTACAAGTAACTTTGGTAATAAAGCCAATTAGAAAGTCTGCAAAAACATTATGAGTAGCTCAGTTGGGTTGTAATCCAATAATTTCAAAGCTTGTATATTTATTTCTAGTAATGTGATTTATATGAAGGTAAGAATAGTTAAAGGCAAATATGTCAAGTTTTATAAATATAATTAAATAGTTATAATTATATTTAAAAACAATTATATAGTGTACACCATATTTGTATACAGGGTGACTGTGTATATCCAGTCATATCACTTGCATGTTGCTTATTTTGGACTTCAGCAATAAGAAATTATCTTTCTCACAATTGTTATAATTTTGTAAGAAGTATGTGTTAAGAACTGTAGGTGTCCTACAGAATAATCAGTTATTGGCTGAGGCCATAAGAGGATTGCTGTTGACTTCAGAAAAATGAAAAAAAAAAAGCTTTCGTGGTAATTAATGACTAATAAAGTATAAACACTGATATCTCATATTTCTCTTTGATACTATTGGCTGTTTTTTTATTAATTTTTGAGAGAAAAAATAGATGAGGTTTAGCCCTTCTAGATCTGTGCCTCTTTATACAACATTAAATAATAGTTATTACTTTATGAAAAAATAGGATGAATTGGTCGGGGTTTTGACCCACCTCTTGTACCACTCCACTAGACTTGCATCAAATTATACAACAATAATAATATAATTACTTTCTGAAAGAAAGTAGTAGGAGTTTACCCTGGACTGCCTTACTCCAGATCTGTGCCTGTTTATACAACATTAAAGAAAACAGTTATAAATTGAAAACATGACACTGTACAGAAAGAGTAAATTTACTCTTTATTTAATACTTATGTAGTCTGAGAGCTAGGAGTGGGTGTTACCAACCAGTTGTTTTCTCTCTAGTCAGCAGTTCCAAATTAGTGACAGTGGTAGATAGCTTTAATAACTTTGTAATAAAAACAGGATGATTAAATTTTGTGGCAATGGGAATCATTAGCAAACTCTCAAATCACAAAGAATTTCACTCACCTATTATGTAGGTTTGCACTAAACAACAAAAATAATGGGAATATTACAAATACTTGAATAATCAAACAGAATATAATATTCCCAATTCAATTAATTGATTATTTTCATTATAATAGATTTAATCATAATTTTAATTAATCTGTTATTGGAAGAATCGAAAATATGGAAATAATCAGACAAAACTAATTTTATTTAGTCCATTATTTTTGTGACATTAATTGATTAGTTTACGAGGCATTAATTGATGCTCATAGTTAATTGATTAAAATTTCCAGCTCTATTTATAATGGCTTTATATTCATATATACCTTTAAAACTCAAAGCAACTGAATTTACAGAAAGCAGAAAAAGAAGAACAAGAACGAAAAGCCCGAGAAGAAGCGGAGAAACAGCGTAAAGAACTTGAAGAAAAGCTGAAGAAAGAAGAAGCTGAACGTGCTGAAAGAAAAAAAGTAAGACCTGAATATTTATAAATAAAAAAAACTTGCACTGGATTATAAGTTTAATGTTTGTTTTATTGCCAGTGGAAAACATTGATTTGCATGAAGAAAGAAAACAGTAAGTTAGTTTGTATGATAGTAATAGAAGAAAATGAATAGAGTTAAATGTAGACTGTATTAATTACAGATAGTTGGATTTCAGTCATTTAAAACAAAATAAAAATTCTTTAGTTGGTTAACTTTAATTCTAGAAAGTGTTTGCATTTAATTGAAAAAAAATAGTTTTACTAAGTAAGTAGTAAAAGATGAAGTTTGTGAAACATTTGAGCAAGGTTTTGTTATTTATTCTTTACTTTTACTCTAGCGTGTAGAACAAATAATGAGTAGAACAAGGGCTAGGGGAACAGCCCAGTTAACTGGAAAGCCAGATGTGGCAGAATCCAGCAAGACTCCTTCCCCTGAGAATGAACAAAGACAAAGTCTAGATGAAAGGAAGTCTCCAGAGCCCTCTGATGGCAGAGATATGAAACAAAATACTTTATGTTTTAGCAATACTGAAGAGAAAGCTGAAATAGAAAAATATGACAAGGATCCAGTTACTGTTGTTTCAGCTCTTAGTGAAACTAAAAACCTGCTTGTAGACACATCTAACAATAGAAATGTGGACTTACTAGCTAACGTAGACAGCGATATTGTTACAAACAATGATAAGGCTGACTTGATTTTTCCTGTTATTGATCAACAATGGAATAAGGAGCTGTCACTTAAAAGTGTTAGCAATAATTCACATACCAATGGTTTCCATACCAACAGTCAAAATGACAGCCTCATCAATGGTACAGGGTAAGTCGTGGAATGTGAAACTCTTCAGATAACTAATTTATCTCCACATGCATTGATTTTTTATATGTTGGTGTTTTAACTAATGAAATACATTTGGATATCACTGTTCAATATCTAGAACCTCAGAACTTGCAAATTTAGTATGATAGACAAGGAAGCAATAAATCAATTCTTAGTATGAATGGATTTAGGAAATAAATCGTTCTATTTCTATAATATTGAAAGCAATTGATAATTTCAGTGTATTTTTACATCGTAGAACTTTTAATGTTGTGATAAATTTTAAATGTTTATTTCAAAATACATGTAAATGAAACGTAACCTTCTGTGCATGTATATGTATCAAAGTGTGCATGCCATGACCTTTTACAAAGAGATATTATATATCAACTATTAATTTAACCCTACATTAGTGATTTAATGATAGATCACAACAGAAGAAAACTACTACCAAATACAATATAGAAGGGTACTGAGAAAACTGTAGATAATCATTTCAAAAGTCCCAGAGATTATGTAAGCTCAGTATATAAACTGTACAATGGACAGAAATATTTATATTCTTCACATGAACAATGCCTTGTACTATAAGTCAGCAACTCACAGACATCTTGAGTACAAATACTTTTGTAACACAACTAATTATTTGTGTACAACAAACTTGTACTTCTGCTAAATTTCGTGTAGATACACATAGTAAGCTGGAAATATTCCTTCTCCAATAAACCAAGCCTGTACTCATTTGGCTAATACATACAATTCTATTTTATAGCAAAATGTAACTTTTTGATCTAGGGTTAAAGTACTAGAATTTGCTTTCAGTTTAGTAAATGTGTAAATTCACCTAGAAATTGTACACAATACAAGATCAGGAATAGTGAATCTCCTGAATGTAAGATAGGATTTAGGAAAGTAATATTTAATGATTGTGCTTTTGGTCTTCTTATCCTTATTATAATAAACAAGTCTCTGTGTACTTTACTCACAGAGCACTCATTGATAAGTTACTGTCTACGTAATTGACAGAGCAACTGTTAACAAACAAGTTACTGTCTATGTAACTGCCAGAGCAACTGTTAACAAACAAGTTACTGTCTATATAACTGCCCGAGCAACTGTTAACAAACAAGTTACTGTCTATGTAACTGCCAGAGCAACTGTTAACAAGCAAGTTACTGTCTATGTAACTGCCAGAGCAACTGTTAACAAACAAGTTACTGTCTATGTAACTGACACAGCAACTGTTAATAAACAAGTCACTGTCTATGTAACTGACACAGCAACTGTTAATAAACAAGTTACTGTCCACATAACTGACACAGCAACTGTTAACAAACAAGTTACTGTCTACGTTACTGCCAGAGCAACTGTTAACAAACAGGTTACTGTCTACGTAACTGCCAGAGCAACTGTTAACAAACAAGTTACTGTCTACGTAACTGCCAGAGCAACTGTTAATAAACAAGACACCGTCTACATTACTGAGAGAGCAACTGTTAATAAACAAATCACCGTCTACGTAACTGCCAGAGCAACTGTTAATAAACAAATCACCGTCTACATTACTGAGAGAGCAACTGTTAATAAACAAATCACCATCTACATTACTGAGAGAGCAACTGTTAATAAACAAATCACCATCTACATTACTGAGAGAGCAACTGCTG